CCCTCTGCCCTGTCGCCTGCTAAATGCTAGCCCTAATCTTTGATGAATGTGATTTCTTGTCAGTTGGCTTTTGGCAAGAGTGAAAAAAAAGAAAGACAATGGTAGGTGTTCTGTGATGCTGATGAGGTGGCCGACTGCGGTATTGGTGTCGAGTCAGAACTTGAGCCCGGCAGGTGACTTCGTGTGGGACGGTTACATGTTCCTACTGCGTGTGGGACTGCCACACTCTTGTATAGTCCATGTTCCTCATATCTCTGAAGGGGCCCATATGGCACCTCTGGACTGGGCCCATGTTTTTTCTTAGAAAACCAGTCTGGAACTATTTTAATGTATTAACCAAATGTTTCAGAGACCTATGCCTGGGAAACATAGCCTGTATCGGTTTAATTTAAAAAAAATTCAAGTCAGGCCCTGCAGGTAACCCCCTGAAGCCACGGGAGGAGCTCAGAACATGTACATTTGAAGGCTGAAGCTCTCGAAAAATGTCCACATCCTGGAGCAGATTATCCGACCTGCTGAACAGAATTGTTGGACATAAGCTAATTTAATGTCAGTGGTGCATCATCATTATAATTTTGGTTTTAGAAGAGATGATTGAAGCCACTTTTTTCTGTTGAGGACTTTCCTCATTTTTGACAATAAAACCATTTCATCAATTCACAGGAAAATATCAGCTTGTTCCGTGTAGCCTGGGAGCATGAACTGGGCTCACCGCGAAATTGTTTCAAGTCATCATGATGCAAGTTAACAATGAAGAAAAACAAAGGGCCAATGTGTATACCCCTTTTAAAATTCTATTCTAATATTCAGGTAATCAAAGATTTATTGAGTGCCTCAGATGCACTTGGCTCAATGGTCAAGGCCAGGGATTTCAGTAATGGTTGATGTGCCAGGAGCCTGTGTGCCAGGAGGCTGTCAACTTGTACCAGTTCCTGCCGTCCAGGGTTACAGCAGAGTTCACGTTCCTCCTTACAGAATTCCCCACACGGTTGATCATGGACACAAAGGCCAACAGTAGTTGTGTAGGTTGTTCACACACTGCAAGCTGTGAATTATTAAAGAGGAAATTGGAGCAGAGTCTAGATGGCCTTTCCAGGAAACCAGTGGGCCTTTGCTTTGGGGCGAGGTGGGGGTGGGGGGGACGAGCCGGTTGCTTCTCTGATGAACTGACCTTGAGCCCCTCAGCCTGGCAGAGAGCCAGGCTAACGAGGCCACGTTAACTGATGAGGATCAAACCCTCCAGTCAGAAGGAGCTTGGGTTGCTCTGAGTGGCCTCACTGCTTTTAAAACTTAAATTTTTAAGTTAATTGTATTTGAGGAAGGATTTCAGGCATTTATTTTATTCAAAAACGAGCTTAGAGGCCACGCTGTCGGGGCAGTTGCTCCTGGTTTATGAAGCAGGGCAGGGTCAGCCCCCGGATGGCAGCCAGGATGCGACTCCACCATCTGCCCTGGTTCTTACCGATGTCCCGAATCTTCTGTCACCCTCGGTGTGGTCGCCAAGCCCACAACCTCCTTGTGGCCGTCTCAGACCGGAGCTGTAAGAAATATGCAGTATCACTGAGGAGTCCGAGCAGGTGGCCTCGCGCTGCCACCTTGGACCAGCTGCTCTGTGACGCCCGGGCTCAGGACACGGGCGACCTCCCCATCCCTCCAAATGTGGGCAGTTGTGGCCAGCTTTAGCCGTCACCTGTCTGTGCAGAGATGTCCACGAGGTTCTTAGATGTGTTTCTCCTGTGAAAAGGTTGAGGGATTAAAAACCAAGGGAGGAAAAGGAGCTGTTTTCCCCTGTGTCGTTCTCCCCAGTTTGTGCTGCGTCGCCTTCCGCCCCGGCCCCATGTGGCCCCAGTGAGCCAGAGAACACGGAGAGGCCAGGGTCTGAAATGTCAGCAGCATCCAGATGGGACCCCTAGAAGCGACCCTGGCCTGGGACGCTTCCTCTCTGGGCGCTGCTTTACTGTGGGCCGCTTCGCAGACTGGTACGGTGTTACTAGGTCCACAGCTACGCATGCTCAGTGAGTCATGTGTCCTTTCGGTCAGGTGCCTTGAACGATTGTTTTCTGGCGTACATTTTAGAGGTGGACATCTGATGCTCAGTTTTGGGTTATGAGTGAGTGCCGCGACTGCTTGTGGGCTCCTTTTCTGGCTGACTGCGCCCTCAGGATTCCTGGGCGTCTTATGTGATCTGGAACTTCTCTGATGATTCCTGGAATCCCAGATGACATGTCATTTTTAGGTGGTGACGATGACATGGAGTAGAAAGCTATCTGTGTTGCAAGCAAATGGAGTCCTTTTACAGATGATTAAACGTGGGGGCTCAGGTTGACGGTGCTGGTCCAGGTTCAGCAGGATGCTCGCAGCATCACTGGGACCAGCGCTTTTGTTTCTTTACTCCAGTGCCATGTTGTAATCTTTGTGCCAGGAACTTGGCTCTCTGCCTATAAATGAGTGTCATTTTAAGGAGGGAAGAGGAAGACTTGTGTGTGCCTACTATGCGTCAGGTGCTACTACAGGGGCTTTACACATACTAGCTCAGCTAGTCCTCACAGTACCCTGCTAAGGTTTGAAGAGCTCTGCTTCAGACCACTCCCTTTCCCTGCCTGAGTTTGGAATCAACAGAAGGAAGCATCCGTCTCAGGTAGATGGCAGAGACAGTGCCCGGTGTGGTTCAGGGCTGGCCAGATGGTCCCCAGACTCTGGCAGAACTGGGCAACCGTACGCTCTTTCACGGGACAGGCCCCGTTCAGTCCGTGCAGAGAGCAGGGTGGGATATGTGCTGTCGGCAGACAGGCAGGCCCCAGGAGAAGGGCCTGAGTGGTGTACACGCCAGTTCTCCTTCCAGATTTGCACCTCCCTTAGGAGAAGTGACGGGGGGCAGCGCGAGGTCAGGACTGTTGCTCTGAGGACGTCCCCCTCCATGGAAACATGGAATCAGGGAGAGGCGGTGTCCTCTTTCTGCACAACATGATCAGGTAACTGTTATTTTTCCTATTTTGTAAGTGAGGAAGTTGAGGTCCGGAGAGATGGAGTCATCTGTGCCTGTTGCCCAGCTGGTAGGTCCTTCTGGCTGCAGTCAGGTCTGTGCTGACTGGAGACGCTTCTCAGGAGCAGCTGAGCACCAGCTGCAGGCGAATCCCTTTTGGTTGGATGTGCGTGGACATCAGATGCCCATCAGAGGTGGCATCTTGGCCAGCGCCAGGATTTGCTCATCCTCATCCTGGTGCAGTGCGACAGGTATATTTTGAATGTGCTCAGAGCGCTGAGATTTGCAGTTGTTACTGATAAACTGCTTAGCCTTGAGTGTAGTTTTGAAAGATCTGGAAGCTGAGTATGGAATTCAGGTTTTGGGAGTTTTTCCTCAACATTCACTGAGAGCTGCGCACTGAAGTGTTGCACTAGTGCTGGGCTAGAGATGAATGAGGCCCTGGGAGCCCTTGTCCTGGGAAAGCGCACAGCTGAAAGGAAACAAAGAAGCCAAAGAGATCCTGCTCCTGCACTATACACGATACTGAGGGTGGTTGCAGGGACCAGGGAGTCGGAGGCAGGTGTGCAAGAGGGAGTCCTTGGTTTGAAGAGCTCTGACTGGGAGCACCGTCTGCTGCCTTGGGTCACTGTGGGCACGGATGAGAATCAGGTGGTGGCCCTGACCCTCCCGGGGCCGGACGCGGGAGCTGTCCATGACCGTTGAGTGTGGTGGGGCCGCTTGTGCGCAGGACAGGATCGCCCTAGATGTCTAAGAGCCCTTCCAGCTGAGGAAGGCGTGGTTTTGTGGATTCTTCTGGAGGGATCTTTATTAGTCAGTGTAGGTTCGCCTGTGCTGTGGCAGAAAAATTATCCCTGAAATCTCAGGAAAGTGAACCCTCACCACAACACAGGTTTACGTCTCACTCGCATGAAGCCTGACGCAAGCTGGCAGCTTTCCAGGACAGCTGACCCTCCTGAGGTTACTGTGATCTAGGCCAGGTCCACCTGCTTCGCCTGCTCTGTGTCTGGCCCCTAGGACCGCCACGCGGCAGAAGGGGAGGCGCAAGGGTGTTGTCTCGGAGGGTCGTGTATTGCTTCCCCTCACAACAGTCTGGCCTCACCTCCTGCAAAGAGGCTGCGGGTGGGGAGGGGAGGAGCAGTATGCATCCTGCCAGCTACCCCCTACCCCCCGGGCCTTCAGTCTCAGCCTTGGACAGTCCAGATCCAATCCCGACTCTTGCCCAGTGGCTCTGCTGGGAGGTCACAGTTGAAGAGCATCCTGCCTCCTGCCTGCCCCAGTTTCCAGCTGTGGGGGTTGCTGTCCTCATTGACCCGTGGGCGCGGTGCTAACAGTGCCCGAGCTAGGAAGGTGACTGTGAGGTTTGGTGGGGGTGATGTGTGAGCGGTTAGCACAGGGCTCCACAGACTGTAAACCTTCAGTAAGGCTTGCTGATTTTTTTTTTTTAGAGTCTAGTTTCTAATTCTTTTTAAAATTTATTTTTTTATTTAAAATTAAAAAAATTGAAATATAGTTGGTTTACAATATTGTGTTAATTTCTGGTGTACAGCATGATTCAGTTACACATACATGTATATATATATTTTTCACATTCCTTTTCATTGTAGGCTGTTGCCTGGTATTGAGTGTGGTGCCCTGTGCTGCACACGGGACCTGTTGTTTTTCTGTTTGGTGTAGAGCAGTAAGGCTAGCTGACTGAGCTGGGCGTGAGTGTCGATTAGCAGACGTCCACAGAGATCTGGGCTGTGCTGATGGACGATCAGGCATAGATGAAGCCGGCGGTGCTCGTGCCCTTCACACGTGGTGCTGTGGGTCGTCCAGGTCAGGGGTGCACTCTTGCTGGCCGTGGGCCTGCGTGTCGGGAAGGAGGGGGGCAGAGAGGGGACTCAACTTGTGCTGAGGGGTGGGCTTGGTACCCAGAGCACTTAGTTGAATCGTTGCAGTGGTTCTGTGAGGGAGGGAGCTTATCTGCATTTGATGGACTGGGAGCCTGAGTTGAGGGAAGGCAGGGCGTGTGCCCCCCGGGCGCACAGCTGGCAGATGGCGCAGCCCAGGCCTCCACTGGACCCTCTGGCTCTAACGGCGTGGCCCAGGGCCCGGCCTCTGCCTGGCTGCTGCCTGGCCCTGGGTGTCTTCTCCTCCCGGCATGGCCCAGCGGGGTCGCGGGCAGCCCTCTCTGCTTTGGCCTGCGGAGTTGAGTGCTTTTCCTTCCCTCGGCTTATCCGCTGTTTGATTTATAGTCCTTCTGTTTGGTCATGTTTACGCTGAAGCCAAACTAACAAGGCAGTTGAAGTATTTTTGTCCTCTTTGAAACAATAGGCGTGTGAAGCTGTTGAATCTTCCTGCCAGCCTCCGGCCGCAGAAGATGAAAAGCCTGCTGGGTCAGAGCGTGTCCACCAAGAGCCCCTTCATCTACTCCCCGATTGTGGCGCACGGCCGCGGAGAGGAGCGGAGCAAGAAAATAGGTAGGCGGCCGCCCCAGCTCCTGACCCTTCCCCCCACCACCCCTGCCCTGGCCCCTGCGGCTCTGCTAGGTTTCAGGTCCTTAGACCTGGTTCCAGTTCATTCGTGCACGTGTGAACCCACAGAGCTTTCTTCTACCTCTGCTGCCTCTGTCAAGCCGTTGCTTATAGATCAGAGTTTTGAAAATATCTGTTTCATAAAAGGTGGTTTCTGTGGAATCTAGAAACCGGAAGAGCTCTGTTATCTGAGACTTATGTAAACTACAGAAGAGAGATTCTTGGAGATCAGGGTGATTTTCCAAGGCTGGAGTGACTTCTGAATCATCTAAGGAGGTTCAGGGGTGACGGGGGCATTTGGATGTTGTATCATCATCTGTTTTGAACACTGGCAGCCCCCATTTTGTGTTGTGCTAATGACAGCCGCTCCTGCGAGGCCTGGTGACTCAGCAAGGAGCGATGTCTTTGTGTCTCAAGGTGGGTTGGGAGCGGAACTCTCTCATCCTGAGATTCCCTGCATGCTGAGCTTCCTGGCCTCTTCCCAGCCTGCGGCCCGCCCGCCGCTTCCTCACGGCGGACTCCCACGCTCACATGTGCCGCCACCCTGCCCCTCCGGTCCCTCCTGAAGTCTGGCCGTGCTGCGGGCCTCCTTCCTCCTCAGCTCCCCCTCCTCAGGCCCCTCGCATTTTGAGATTGGGGTGGGTGCGAGTCGCAGTGACAGAGCTAAAGGGTGGAGAGCCCCGTCCCTGGCTGGTGACGCTGATTCCCCGCGAGCGGTTTCAGTGGAAGACCTGCAGGACTTTTACACTCTGCTTCTGAAATCCAGTGCTTGCTTCACTTTTCTGTCTTCTCTTTTTCCTCTTAATTTCTAAACCCTCGATGTAGGAGAAGGCATCCTGACCTCCCAGGATGGGGGTGTCCTGCTGTACCTGCACCCCCCCGCACCTGTAGAGCAGGCGGCACGCACCTCTTAACGCTGCCCCGCACACTCCGTCCGCCTTCACGCTCACCTCCCACCTTTTCCTTTCCTGCTGTTTGGGCCCAGCCAGCAGCTCCTTTGTGTTCCTTGACCGTGACCTTCTGGTTCCAGCCTCAGGGCTGTGTGCTGGCTGTGCCTCCTGTGGGGCTCCCCCACCCCCAGGCTGCCCCGCCCAGAGAGGCCGCTCACTCAGAGAGCAGAGCTGTCCTGAGGAGCAGGTGGGCTTCTAAGGTGTGGCTCGGAGGGCTCTAGTTAAAATAAGAAGAAAATAAAGGAAAAAATTTGGGATAATGACCTTGAAAAATAGCCCATGGAGCTGGCCTTGCCTCTTCATTTTTTTCTCTCTAATCTTAAAAAACTGCTGAAGCCTCCTTTTATGAAAAGAATACTCTGCATTTGCTGCGGGGACTTCAGCCTCATTCAGTGATTCTCGTAACTGCCTGACGCTGCAGGTATTGTTCCCAGTTTACAGGTGGGAAGGTTAAGCCTGAGTGAATATAAATCCTGGCCTAGTTCAGAGAGCTAGTAAGTGGCTGGCCCTGGCCCTGGTTCAAGACTCGAAGCCCAGGGACTTTTCCTTTCAATATGGCTCTTCGTGACAGCGAGAAGCACCTGTTCGTCTGGGCTGGGGATAAATTCAGTGGTTGATGCAGGATTTTTTTCTGGGATGTAACAGAAACTTCAACCAAAATTCATGTTATGTGTTGAATACCGATGGGTAGGAAAATGTGATTTTACTCTGTGGCTTCTAATATCTTTTTGGCAATAGACTCATCAACGAGTGCCTGCCTAGAGGTTTGAATAATCACGTCTTTAACCCAGAATCACAGTCTCTATGAGTGAACCTTTGTGTATAATTGGGGGGTTATTACAGCAGGGGGTGCAGAATATGAGAGGGGGAGAAACCCCGGAGGGCACTTGTTGAGACTGCTTTCCGGTCTGACTTGGAATGAGGTACCTACCAGTCTTTCTGTCTGCACGTGGCTAGCGTCGCCAGCATCCCCGTGACCCCAGGCAGAGGTGACGCTGCCCGTGTCCCATGAGGGGGCACAGTGGCGTGAGGGGTTTTGTGTGATTTGTGCTGGGACTTGGTGGTGTGGCCAGGTGTCGTGCCGAGGTCAACAGCCGCCCTCGAGGGAGTGTGGTGGCCTGGACTGGCCATAGCTGTCGGATGGCCGTGGGCTGCCGCTTGGCCTCGCTGGGCTGTGGTTGTGCTGTCTATGGTGGGGGGTGGTGAGAAGCACCCTGAGGGGGTTCTTCCGAGGCTCAGGTGACATCACGTTCCCACAGTGCCCGGCGGCTGTTCCTGTTTGGCTCTGAGTAGCCGTTGTGTGCCCTGTGTAGGTGCTGGGCTGCAGGGAGGAATCGGGAGTGCCCTGGCCTGGTGGAAAGAGGCGAGCTTGTCAACAAAAGCCGCCGAAAGCTGCTCTGTCTGCGGATGAGAACATGCTCGGGGATGCGCAGGCCAGAGCAGGGAGGGCCCGGTACAGTGGGTGCTCGGTGGCCCTCTGCGCTCTTCCTTCCCATGGCTTCTGGACAAAATATTGAGGAAGGGACCCCCCCACCCCCGTGTGCTTTGACACACTCCAGCTCGGGAGGGAGATGCTCTCCTTTCAGAAAAAAGAACTATTGCTGTGATCGGGGATTGATCTTGGTTTACCTGTAGTGACGAGGACTGGACTAGTGCAGACAGCTCCTTTCAGAACCCCAGGAACATGAGATTTAAAGTCACGCTCTTTTGACTGACAGAGAAGACAGTTCTTTAGCTGTTGGTGTAGCAGCCTGTTGAAACAACATTTTCATTGGCTGCAATAAAGGGCTGGGGTGCTGACCGCGGAGCCAGTGAAGGGCTCAGTAACGCCAGTGATGGGACATTGCGGGCACCGTGTGCTCTGGGGAGTGACTTCTGGGAGCCTCCCATGAAGCTTCTCTGCCTGAGGGCCCGGAGGCTGGGTGAGGAGAGGCAGGTTGGAGGAAGCAGGAGCCCTGGGTTTCTGGAGCCAAGAGGGGGAGGGCGGCAGAGTGAGGGGAGCACAGGCTTTGGGGCCAGGCAGACGGCAGTCTGGCTCAGGGGGCCGCAGGTGGCAGAGTTTAGCCTGGCAGTGTTCCCTGCTGGTGAATGAAGGTGACATTTCAGTGCATCGTCCAGAGGCCCAGTGGTCACGCAGGCATCTTTAAAGCTAATTCACCTGCTGGGCTCCTTGTTCATTTTGTGTAATTCCAGGATACTGGCTCTGGTTTGTGTGTCACAGTTTTGGGGGCACCCGGCTTAGTCTCTGTGTGTGGGGTCCAGTGCAGAGTGTTTGGAAAAACTGGTGTCTTTGTGAAAGCTTACCAGACTGAAGAATTCTAATCAGTGAATCTTAGTCTCAACTCCAGAAAAAACCCTTTAGCCACTAGGGTCCGTTCTCGACACCTCTGTAAGTTCACCGCCCTGGGCTTGAGTCCCTGCTGCACCATGTCCTGGTGACTCCCAGCAGGTTTACTGGCCCGTTTGGACCTTGAGTACCTGCCTCACCAGGTCACCGTGAAGGGCTGGCTGGGGCATCTGCCCAATGTATTGCTTGATCCGGAAGTCCCTTCTGAGTTGCCTAATGGAGTGTCTTGAAGGGACAGGGCAGTGGAAGTGGGGAGGGGGACCATGTTTGTTTTCTTTTGCTGTGTAACCAATGACCACACACTTAATGGCTTAAAGAACACAAACTGATTTTCTCACTGTTGCCAGCATTAGTCCAGTGCTTGTTAGCTGGGTCCTCTGCTCAGGGTCTTGCAGGGTCACACCCAAGTGTCAGCTGGGCTGTGTCCCTGTCTGGAGTCCCGACTGGGGCGGATCTGTTTCCAGGCTCCATCAGGTTCTTCACTCATCTACTTACGTTGTAGGGCTGAGGGTCCCGCTCTCTTGCTGGCCATCAGAGGGACCACTTTCTGCTCACGGAGGCTGTGCTCGGGTCCTTGCCACAAGCCCTCCTCCATACGCCCTCTCGCACTTTGAATCTTTTCACTTAGGGTAGGTTTGGTTAGTGAGCCAAGGGCTCGTCTGATGGGACCAAGCCCTCCCAGGATAACCCCCTGATTAACTCAGAGTCCACTGACTGAGGGCCTTAATCACATACAAAAAATCCCTTTACCTTTGTTACATGACATAACCTGACCATCAGACCGCACTTAGGGGGAGAGGATTGCACAGGGCGTGTACACCAGGGGCCAGGGTCTTGGGAGTCATCTTGGAATTCCGCCTCCTATAGGTGTTGAACTGTAGCTGACCTGGGAGAGGTCAGGGAGGGGAAGCCACCACCTCCCCTCACAGTCTCGGGGCGGGGAAAGAGGGGTCATGCTGTGTGCCGCTCAAAATTGACCACAGTGCCATCTTCCTGGGTGCCAGCCTATGGGCCCGCGAAGGCCTTCGTGACCTAAGGCTCTGCATCAAGAACAGTGCTGTCTGGGTTGATTTCAGTTTCGTGAAGCTGCGTGTGGCACCAAGGGAGAGAGACATCAGTCACAAAGCGTCCAAGGGGCAGTGATGGCTTGCTTTGCTTCGGATAAAGCTAGCAGTAAAACCAGCGTTAAGGTGTTTATCTCAAGGGGATCACCACGCCCAGTTGCCTCACTGGAAAAGTAAATGGCAAGAGGAGTCCTCTGAAACCATGTGAAACATGCAGCAACACCGGCTAATAGTGGGTTCCTGTGTGTTTGTGTTTCTAGACTTCCAGTGGGTCCAGGGAGATGTGTGTGAGGTTCAGCTGATGGTGTATAACCCAATGCCGTTCGAACTCCGTGTGGAAAACATGGTATGTATCACCAGTATTTGACCGTTTTGGGCTACCCATCAACTTTCCATTAAAATACTTTTTTTGCTTGATGTTTGAGGCACACTTTCTATGATATATGTCTGTTTTTGTCTTTGCTTTGCTAAAGATTGTAAACTTTTGTTGAGTGGAGACCACACCTTGACATTTCTGTGTCTTTAGTGCGTGGTGCTCATTAAATGTGTGGGTCAATGAACAAAGACGTCTCAGATTTGAACACATGCCGAGTTTAATTGATTCAACATAAGATTTGCAATAGTCATGTTGCAATTTACATGAGTTCAGCGAGGTTGCAGAGACTACACTGTGCCAGGCCCTCAGTGTCAGTGACTTTCCTGCTACAAGATGATAAGATGATCAAGTCTAAGGAAGCGCACGCTCTGAAGGGTAAGAGGATAAATCACTGCTCGGCTCATGGGAGCAGTTCTGTGCTGTGTTTCTGTTTCCATGTACGGCATTAGTGGCTCGCTCTGCAGTGGTGCCCATTGGAGCTGCTCACCTAATTGCACAGTCGGCGGGAAGGAGGTTTGGACTGGCTCTCCAAGCTGGATCCGTGTTTCCAGAGGAGAGCCCTCCCCCACGCCGTGGAGTCCACTCCTCAAGCCTCGCCTGTGCTCGTCAGTGCGCAGAGCCGCCCTGTGCCTTTGCAGTGACGAGCGCGGGTGTTGGAGAGCTGGTTGATGCTCTCCTCTGAGGTTTTGTGACTCCGGTTCAGGGTGGGAGGCGGGCTCCCCAGGCAGGTGTCTTGTAGAGGGTCCATGCCACGTGTCCCTGCTGTGCCTGCAGCCAGTGCTGTGGTGCTGCAGGACTCACGTGGAGAGTCAGGGAAGGCCCAGCTGAGGACGCAAGGGTGACTGGGAGTTCACCAGGCAGACTGGGGGTTACTGAAGACGATGTTTAGGCCTCCAGCATGAGGCATGGTTTCCCCAAGTCGCTGAGGCTCCTAGCAGTTCAGCTAAGTATTAAGCTTAGAGCCCTGAGGTCACTCAGAAAACAGACCTCCTCCTGTTGTACAGCGTGCTGGCCCGGGGAGGCAGCTCCCGGTCGGGGCTTGCAGTGACCTTCTGACGCCCCTGCAGCCGTGGGGCAGCTCCTTGAGGCCAGGGAGTCTGTCTTGCTCGTCGTCAGGCGCAGAGCCCGGCACTTCGTGAGAGTCACAGATGCCCTGGAAGGATATTAACTGAAGATGTATTCCACGCTTCATGATTTTTCTTTTCGATTGTAAATAAAGTATTGGATTTTTTTCTCTTTTTTACTTTCCAACTTAGTAAAACAGCGAAACAGAACAGACATTAAGCACACAGCAGGCGGAGCCACCACTGAGCCGGAGCTGTTGTTGGAGCCAGCGCCGCGCTGTCCGTTTCGAGACTGTTTTGCGTGAATTGCCCTCTGAGGGCCTCTCTACGGCTCTCTGTGGACTCTCCCGGAGCCGCCAAGGGGTGTTTTCTTTCTGACAGGCCGGGCGGCCGGGGGTTTGGGTGTGGCCGCGCTCAGCCCCGCCCCTTCCGCTGCAGGGGCTGCTCACCGGCGGCGTGGAGTTCGAGTCTCTCCCTGCGGCGCTTTCCCTCCCGGCTGAGTCCGGGCTGTACCCGGTGACGCTCGTTGGGGTCCCGCAGACAGCAGGGACGATCACCGTGCACGGTAAGGAGAACGTCCAGGTCACAGTCAGGAGGGTGGTCGGCCCCTGCGCCGCCCCTCTGAGCCCCTCAGCTCCGCGCGCGCTGCAGTCCTCACCCACTAACAGGGAGCAGACGGGCGGCGTTTCTTTGGGAGGTGACGCGGAGAGAACCGCCTTGCGAGCGCAGGACGTGATGGGCACCACCCGCTGCTGTCCGTCCTCCCCGCGGCCTGCAGACACGCCAAGGCTCTCCCGCGACAGTGAAGCCCTCCCGGGCCCCCGGTTCCCCCTCGCTGTGGCCTCATCTCCCGTCTCTCCCTCTCAGCAGACAGTCCATACTCGCTGAATCCACTTTTCCACCCCTGTGCTGGTTCTCTAACCCACTGCGTCCTGGGTTTAGCCATCTGTTCACCAAAACTGCTGTCACTGAGGCCACGGGCAGTATTTTTCCAGCTAAATCCGGGGCCTACGATTCAGTTGTCCAGCTCCCTGCCCAGCAGCCTTTGGTGCCACTGCCCGCCTCCTTCCCGGGGCGCCTGCCTGGCCTCAGGGACTGCCCTCCCCACGTTCTGCTGCCTCTCCTGCCGTCCTCGGTCAGTGTCTTCCCTGACGCTGTCCTCCCCCCCCCCCCACTTCCCCTTTCCTCTCCTTCCTTCCCCAGCCCTGCTTCCCCACCCGTCTTTCTCTCCCCTTTGCTCCCCACTCCCTCGCTCTGCCCTCGCCTCCCCCTCTTTCTCCATCTGCTGTCTCTAGGCAGTCCCATCAGACTCCTCTGCTTTCCTGGCTTCAGGTCCCATTTACATGCTACTGATGCCCCGGGCACGTCTCCCGTCCAGACCCCTTTCCTGAACCTGCATATCCAGCCGCTTACCAGCCATCTCCTTGGCTGTCTCATGGGCACGTCACATACGACATATCTCAACCAGAGCCCATCACCTCATCCCTGAAGTCTGTCTTGCTTGGCTACATCCTCCCACCCGGCACATAGTAGGTCTTCAGTAGCTATTTGGTGGCTGAAAGAACAAACATCCACCAGGAAAGGGTGCTCTCTCTCGAGCAGTGAGGCCAACAGCATCCTAGGTGAGGATGTGTTGCAGCCACTGCTGAGATGGGTGAAGCCCCGGCTTCTGGGGTATGGGGGAGGGGAGACCAGGAAGGGCAGGGTGGGTGGAGGAGGACTTCTCCTGGGATGTGACCCTGAGGTTTGAAGGTGAACCAGGAGTTAGTTATCTGGGTGAATGGGACGGAGAGTGGGGGGGATCCAAGCAGGAAGAACATCTGGCCAGGCTCTTACTTACCTGGTGGGGAGAGAGAGCAGGGCACAGAGGGGGCTGGGGGCGGCTCAGAACACCTGGTCCAAGGCAGAGGGGTGGCAGTGACGGGGCCGGGGAGGCAGACAGAGGGCAGACCCAGGGGGCCTTCTACATCCTGCTGAGGACTGTGCACTGCTGCGTTACTTGATTGGAGGAGAGATATGGTCCCATGGGCAGGTCAGAGCGACCCCTGACTGCTGTGTGGAGAACGGGCTGGACCTGTGAGGCCTGGCTGGAGGCAGGGAGACCAACAAGGAAGCCCCCGCCTAGTCCAGGGAGTAAATGCCAGACGTCGGAGCCCAGCTGTGGCTGGGACCAGAGCAGAGGGGCAGGTCAGAGAGGAGGTGCCCAGGACTGGAAGGCTGGATTCGGGGCAGCACGACCAGTGCCCAGTGTGTCCCTGGAGGAGTCGTCAGCCCTGATGACGGTGTTCTCAGCCCTGACCCCTGGTGCAGACGAGGCGGTGTTTGTTACTTGGTGTGCTGTATGTGTGAAGTGGAAAAGGCTGGCCTTGTATTATTGGACATAACACTGAGGGTGTGTCATCAGATTTTAAGTTTATTTGCAGTTGTCTTCAGCAGTCAATGAGAAAAGTCTGATTTTAATTAAGAAATTGAAAACGAAGATTGCTTAGTGGACAGAGCCACATTATCTCAGGTTTACTGACGGAACAGGAAGGGGGTGCGTTGTGCTAGGTGTGGGTTTCTGGGGAGAAAACGCGGGTTAAATTAGTCTTTTAAGAAACATACTTTAAAAAGAAGGAAGTATGGGTTCTGTGAATTGGAGTTATTTTAAGTTGAGGGGCCCGTTGGAAACTGGCAGAGGGTCCTGGGGGGCGTTGATGAGGCTGTATCTGGGCCCTGATTTGCCCTCTAGATAACAGCTTGCTTGTGCTGAGTGTGTGACTGTTTAATGTGAATGCAGAAAATTTGTCACCCTAGGCATTTAGCCATTGGGTATTATCTAACTGTGTTACAAGTGAATATTATTGATAATAATTATCCCTTGAAATTTCAAAAGCCATTTTAAAGCTTTGCTTAAACAATTTCAAGTGCTTATCTAACCAATGGAGGATTTTTTTTCATGGAAAATTTGCTAATCTTAAATTATAGTTCTTGTACACATCCAGCGGACTTGCTGTGTATCACGCAACAGTTATAATAACAATAATTGACTCTTGAACTTTCATCTCTCAACAGAAGATTTTGAATCATTTCTTCAAATACTTATTAAGTCGCATTAGGTCCTGGAAAGGAACACAAACTATCATTCTTATTTTAGAGATGGATAAATTTGAGACGCAAATTAGTAAAGGGATGAGACACTAATTATTAGGTTGGGTGAGATTTACAAAGAGTCTCACATGCACTGTCGCTGGGACCCAGTGAGCCTTGTGAAGTAGGAATGCAGGTGCCATTGCCACCTCCACTCTCCGCTTGAGGACACCGAGGGTCTCCGGGGTTGAGTACGGAGCTGGAGGTGAGCCCAGCAAGCGACCGGGCCTGAATCTCAGCGCAGGTCTTTGGAAAGGGGCTCTGTGCTCCTGTCACTCCTGGGGGCCACCTCAAGGTGCGGGCGTGAGCCGCGCAGCCTTTCCCGGTGGGTGAAGCTTTGCCTTTTGTTCCCAGGTTACCACACCACGGTCTTCGGCGTCTTCAGTGACTGTTTGCTGGACCACCTTCCGGGAGTAAAGACCAACGGCTGCACAGTCGAGGTCACCCCTGCTCTGCCCAGGCTGCAGGCCAGCACCTCTCTGCCCAGGTAGAGCCCGCTCGTGCCCCGGCTACTGTCTAACCGGGGGGCCCTTAGCAGCACCGCCGTGTGTGCCCTCTGACGTGGCGCCGGGTCTGAGGGCGCCTGAGTCTTATGGCCAGAACGTGGGCAAACAGCAAACCGGAACAAAGTTGTACTGGTTCTTACCGAGATCAGAACAAAATGTGGAATTAGCCTTTGGAATCACAGTTTTTGTGAGAAATAGTTCTAGTTTTGGAGAATTTAAGAAAACCTCTTATCTCTTTAAAAAATAGTCTTTTTAAATTAAAAAAGTTTTTTAAAAGCATTATGGGGAAGCATAAAGAAGAAAGGGAAATCTGAGAGGGGATTACTGTCAGTGCTTTGTGGGGTTTCCCTCCAGTGTCTACCCATTAAAAAAATTTCTTTTTGCATAGTTGAGCTCACATTGTGTTAAATGTATGATACATTACTGTTTACATAACCATGTGACATAAGCTAAAACTTTTGTTTTAATTGCTTAAAGAAGCACATAAACATCTCAAAGTGGCATCACCATTTTGTTGCTGTCAGAATTTGGGACTGCCTCAAGTTTTGCTCTTATGGACGATGCGTTAATGTTTATCCTTTGGGCTGTTTTTATAAAATGTATCTTGGCATTTTCTGAAATGTTTTGAAAGCTCAGCCACATATTTAATGGCCCCTTTCAGATGCCAGGCACTGTGCTGGATGCCAGTGCTGTGAGAATGAACACACTAGCCCTGGGCCTTGCCCGGGAAGTGACCGTCAACAGGAAGAGATTGACAGGGAGCCAGTCACCGTCCGCTAGTGTGAGGACTCCGATGGGGCTGTGGGAAGATCCCTTCCAGGAGGTGACATCAGGTGTGAGGGGAGGTAGCCGTGTGAAATGTGGAGGCAGGAGAATTTTCTAGCAAAGGGAGCGCCTGTGAGAGACCCCAGAGGTGGGAGAACGCGTCGTGGGGGTGGGACTTAAATGAAATGCAGGGAAAAATGAGCTCAAAAGGCATCATGGTACTAACTGTGAGAGCTAAAAGTGTGAGACTTTCAGAAGAAACAGAAAATTTTGGTGACCTTGGGTCGGGCGGCGTCCTGTGCTGTGACAGCACATGCAGAATCTGTAAAGGAAAACGCTGACAGAGTGGGCGTCATCAAAACTAGAAACCTTCGTGCTTCCAAGGACACCACCACGAGGACAATGAAAAGACCAGGCACAGGGTGGGAGGAAATATTTGCAAGTCACGTGTCTGATGAAGAGCTGGTATTCATATAAAAACTCTTAAAACTCAATAGTAAGAGGCAAACAACCATTTTAAAAATTGACTGAAGATTTGAGTAGATAATTCACCACAGAAGATGCACACAAATAGCCAGCGAGCAGCCTGGAAAGACACGCGACGCCGTTGTCTCTGTGGAACAGGCAGCTCGGTGAGACTCCAGCTCACATCCCCCAGGGTGGCCGTGATCTGAAGGCAGACTGCGCCGGGGCTTCTGGGGCAGGGAAACTGGAGCCTTATTCATTGTGATGGGAGT